CCGTGGCTCAGTGGAAGGGCCTCTGCCTGGCATGCAGAAGGTCCCAGTTTCCATCCCCGGCATCTCCACTTAAAAAGGAACAGGCAGTAGGTGATGGGAAAGACCTCGGTCTGAGACCCTGGAGAGCTATGGGAAGGGACTGTGGCTCAGTGGAAGGGCCTCTGCCTGGCATGCAGAAGGTCCCAGGTTCAATCTCCGGCATCTCCACTTCAAAAGGAACAGGCAGTAGGTGATGGGAAAGACCTCGGCCTGAAACCCTGGCTCAGTGGCAGAGCCTCTGCTTGGTGTGCAGAAGGTCCCAGAAGGTTCAATCCCCAGCATCTCCACTTAAGAAGGGACAGTCAGCAGGTGATGTGGAAGAGTCTTCTGAGAGCTGCTGCCAGCCTGAGTTGGCAATACTGACCTTGGTAGCCTCTAGGCTTGCCAAGTCCCCCCGGGGGGTGGGGAAACCCCCGTCCGAGAGGCCCGTTACCTGCCAGCGGTGGATCAGGCCCCAGGGGGAACCCCACCCCCAAAGCACGCGACGTGCCCAGCGTCAGCACGTCACCCGGAAGTGACGCAGTCGCGTCGGGCGCGTTGGGGGCGGGGCCACGGGCATCCGAGGGGAAACTCTATGGTTTTCCCTCGGATGATTGTGGCCCTGCCCCCGGCGTGCCTGACGTGGTTGCGTCACTTCCGGGTGATGTAATTGCGGCACACACGCGCTCCGTGCGCACGGACTCCCAGGGCAGCGCCGAAGTCCCCTGCTCTGCACACGGTAACAACTTGGCAACCCTAGAAGCCTCCAAGTGAGGTGTGAAGACCTCTTGGAATTATATCTGGTCTCTAGCAATGTTCCCTCTAAGCTGTGGAGTCTTGTGAGCAAAAATTCTACTTTGTGAGCTGCTGGCATTAAAGTTGGGAGCGAGCAATTTGGCTGCCGCATAAGTTAATTTGCTCTGGAACCCTCCTTCCTAAGCGAAGACAAAAATGTGTGAGCCGGAGGCTAAAAAAACCTGTGCGCTAGCTCACACTGACTCAGCTTAGAGGGAACGCTGGTAACAAGGGCTGAAAATTAGCGCTCAAATACATGTTCAGGTTTGTGTCTGACCTTAGTTTCCACTCTGTTCTTTAGGGGAGGCAAAGAAACCGAGGAAGAGGTTACCCCAAAACCTGCTCCTGTGTTGCAAACCAAAGTGAGTACCTGTTCTGGGCAGGGTTTGAAGAGCACTTTCTGTTTCCTGGGGAATGCAGGGTTGCATTGGATCGTGTAGGTCGCCAACTCTGGCTTGGGAAATGCCTGCCCTTGGATTTTGGGATCTCTTGAGTGTGTGTGACTCGAGATACCTCTAAATTCGGGCTGCTAGGTCTTACCTGGCTGCCAGTGCCGGTGCTCCTGCCCAGTCCCGGGATCTTCTGGCATGCGCATGAAGCCAGGCGTGTCATGAGGGGACACTCTGGCATTTGGGCAAAAAACTCTATGGTCACCATAGAGTTTTAACCCAAATGCTAGAGCATCCCCCACATGACATGCCCGGTGTGGTGACGTTACCTCTGGGTGATGTCCTTACACTGGGCACGTCAGGCACAAAGGGGCTGTTTGGGGGCGGGGCTCCCCCACCAGCCAGCTGGCCATTGGTGGATTGGGGGCCCTGAAATCAGGGAAAACCCCGCCCCCATTGGGGACGGCACTGCTACTCTCTCCTTGAATGAGATGCCTCTGTTTGTCTTAACCTGGGAGCCAGTTTGGAGTAGCATTTAAGTGCGCAGACTCTAATCTGGGAGAACTGGGTTTGATTTCCCCACTCCTCCACATGCAGCTGCTGCATGACCTTGGGCAAGCCATAGTTCTGTCAGAGCTGTCCTTGAAAAAGAGCAGTTTCTGTCAGAGCTCTCTCAGCCCCACCCACCTCCCAAGGTGTCTGTTGTGGGGAGGGGAAGGGAAAGGAGATGGTAAGCCGCTCTGAGACTCCCTTGGGTAGTGAAGGGTGGGGTATAAATCCAGTCTCCTCTTCTCTCTGCTGCTGCTTCTTCTCTCTGAGCCCTCCTCTGTCTCTCTCTGCTCTTTGTTCTGTCCCGTTCTTCACATGGCTCTTCATGGAGTCACACGTCTCTCCAGGTCTCTCCTGCAGAAGCAGTGCCCTCACACTTCCACATACATGATACCGGTTTATCTGTCCGCTTGTGATAGGGATCGTATTCTTTAGATTAGGCTTCTCTTTCTCTTTCCTTTCCACCACGACACGAATGTGAACCAAATCTACCTGAATAAAGGTAAGTTTTATTTTACTGCACTCAGTATCGTGCTTCTATGACTGTGCAAACCAAACTACTATGGTGCTTTCCGCAGTTGCCTGCCACTCCGGATTTTCTCAGCGTTTGAGTCGAGGCAATTTAAGGGCGATTCCGCATTGGCTTTTCCCCTACAGTGTTTTAGCAAACCCACAATTGGAACAGAAATTCCCCTCTGCATCGCATGCTGCTTTCACTTACGTTGCTCATCGGATTTCATGGTACCCTCTGCATTGCATCCTGCTTTCACTTTCTTTGGCCATTGGATTTTATGGTACCTTCTGCCTTGCATCCTGCTTTCGCTTTCTTTGATAACTGGTTTTTTTATGGTACCTTCTGCATAGCTTTACGGCCGTTTTATGGCCGTTCAGGGGTGACTTCGCAGTACGGCATTGGCCCCATACGGCATTGGCCCCAGGGTATTTGGATGTGGTTTTGAGCCGCACCTTTTCCTCAGTGTTGAGAAAGTGTAGAGCGAACGCCAGACGCAGCCTAAGTCCAAGGCAAAACAGCATCCAAATAACCCCGGGGCAAACAGAAGGCTGAAACGAAACGGGGCTGACCACTGAAGGGAGGGAATGTGATGCAGCATGGGTCATTTTGTAGAAAAAGAGGCGCAGGAGCTCATTAGCATAACTCATTAGCATAACCCATTTGCATATGCCACACCCCCTGATGTCACCGGAAGTGTGTCAGAAGGCAACACCCACCACTCAGGCTCCACTGGACTGTTTCAGATTGCTAGCTGGGGGGGGGGACATGCCCTCGCAGAGGAGGGAGAGCTTGTACCTAAATAAAACTTGGTCTTAAAGGTGCCACTGGACTGTTTTGGACCGGGGAACTTGGGGGGAGGGGCTCTGCAACTTACCTGGCTGCTTCTCGCTCTGACTGAGGGCTGCTGGGAGCAGGGGGGGGGGCTTGTTGCATGTGCCCGCCCCTTGGGCTCTTTACTGCCGGAGCTCCGCTCCTGTGCGCTCCTGCAGGAAATGACGCCTGTGATGCAGAATGGGGGGGGGGACGGGATGAAAAGAAGGCTGAACTTGATTTCAGTGCAGAATGGGGGGTGGGGGGGAACCCTGGATCAAACAGAAGGTTGAATTTGATTTTAGTGCAGAATTGCTTGGAGGACACCGCAGTGAACATGGATTAAAAGGACTCCCCCCGGCTGGCTGGCGGGGGGAGCCCTGCCCCTGAAGAGCCCCATCGTGTCTGGTGTGTCGATGTCATCCCACCGGCCATGTCGTGTGGGGGATGTGTTATATTCCGAGTTATTTCTAAGCTGTTGTAGTTATGGTTTGTGCTAAGGTATCCTAGCTTCCTCTGTGGTGATTGGCTGCGTAATAAAGACCTTCTAGTGGTCCTAAATGGAGCTGCGGTGGCTCAAGTGGTCAAGACGCTGAACTACAGGCTGTGGAAGGTTGGTAGCTCAGCAGTTCGAGACCCGGGTGCCACAAGACGGAGTGAGGTCCCGTCTCTAGTTCCAGCTCCTGCCAACCTAGCAGTTTGAAAGCAAGAAATTGCAAGTAGATAAATAGGTACCACTTTGGTGAGAAGGTAACAGCGTTCTGTGTGTCTTGGTGCTTAGTCATGCCGGCCACATGACCACGGAAATGTCTTCGGACAGCGCTGGCTCTTCGGCTTTGAAACGGAGATGAGCACCGCAACCCTAGAGTCAGACTCGACTGGCTTTCGAGCGAGGGAACCTTTACCTTTAATGGTCCTTAAGCCGTACAGAGTATCCTATCAGAAAGCTCCGCTTAGGTCCAATCAGACCTCATGAATGTAGTTAGATTGTATATAGTAAAAGTTTGGATGCTGCTCTTCACAGAGTCAGATTAGAGCTGAGTAATGTTGTGAACAAAAAGCCTTGCATTGATAATCGTCTCCCGCCTTTCAATACTTAAAAGAGCCAGTTTGGGGTCGTGGTTAAGTGCCCGGACTCTAATCTGGGAGAACCAGGTTTGATTCCACACTCCTCCACTCGCACCTGGCTGGATGACCTTGGGCAAGCCCTAGTTCTGACAAGAGCTGTCCTTGAAAAAGAGCACTTTCTATCAGCCCCACCTACCTCACAGGGTGTCTGTTGTGCGGAGGGGAAGGGAGTTTGTCAGCCGCTCTGAGACTCCAAGTGAAGGGCGGGGTATAAATCCAATCTCCTCCTCCTCCTCCTCCTCCTCCTCCTCCTCCTCCTCCTCTTCTTCTTCTTCTTCTTCTTCTTCCTCTTCTTCTTCTTCTTCTTCTCGCGGACTCTAATCTGGGAGAACCAGGTTTGATCCCCCACTCCTCCACTTGCACCTGCTGGATGACCTTGGGCAAGCCGTAGTTCTGATAAGAGCTGTTCTTGAAAAAGAGCCTTTTCTGTCAGAGCTCTCTCAGCCCCACCTGCCTCCCAGGGTGACTGTGGTGGGGCGGGGAGGGGAAAGGAGTTTGTAAGCCGCTCGGAGCCACCTTTGGGTAGTGAAGGGCGGGGGTATAAATCCAATTTCCTCCTCTTCTTCTTCTAAAAGATTGCTCTAGCATTTGGGTTAAAACTCTATGGTGACCATAGAGTTTTTTGCCCAAATGCCAGACTGGCTTCCCACGCATGTCAGAACATGGATTAAAAGGACTCTGTGGGCCTATGTATTAACCAAGCCTCCCAGTATTGGTGGCCCAGGATTAAAGCTGTGTGTGGCCTTCTTTAGCCCAGGTTCCCTGGACTCCCGGGACTCCTGAGCAAGGCCGGCGCCATGTGCTCCTCCCACAAGCACCTGATGAAGATCGCCGACTCCTCAGACCAGGCCCACTGCAAGAAAGTGGAGGACCAGATCAACTTTGACCACCTGCAGAAACTGGAGTGGATGTTCAGAGAGGCGGATGTGGACGGCGGAGGAGGTGAGGAGGCTGCTCTTCCGTGGGCATCGCTCGGGGCCGCTTCTTTCTCGTCCCTCGGTAGTCTTTGAAACGATGCATTGGCGTCACTGGTTGTCTGCGGCTTGGCAGTTCTGAAGGCCCCCTAATTAGGGTTGCCATGTTCTCCCTGGCAGAGCCATTTGGGTGTTGTAGTCAGGAGCGCGGACTCTAATCTGGGAGAACCGGGTTTGATTCCCCACTCCTCCACTTACACCTGCTGGATGACCTTAAGCCAGTCACAAGTTCTCTCAGAGCTGTTCTCTCAAGGGCAGTTCTCAAGAGAGCTCTCTCAGCCCCACCCGCCTCCCAGGGTGTCTGTTGTGGGGGAGGGGAAGGGAAAGGAGATCGCAAGCCGCTCTGAGACTCCTTCGGGTAGTGAAGGGCGGGGGATAAATCCAATCTCTTCTCTTCTTCCCTGGCCACCAGTGGAGGGTGGGGGGTAGGTATGCCAGATCCAGGCTGGGAAACTACTGGAGATCTGGGGGTGGAGCCTGGTGAGGACAGGGACCCCCTCAGTGGGGTACAATGCCATAGAGTCCACCCTCCAAAGCAGCCCTTTTCTCCAGGGGAACTGGTCTCTGTTGTCCGGAGATCAGTGGCAATTCTGGGGCGACACCAGGTCCCACCTGGAAGCTGGTATCCCGACCCGTAGCTGGTTGGAGAGTAGCATATGGTTTCCCAGTAGGGTTCCCATCCCCTGAACGGGGGCGGGGCTTCCTCTGCTTTCATGGCCCCCTATCCATCGCTGGCCAGCTGGCCGGTGGGGAAGCCCCCCCCCCAAACGCCCCATCCCGCCAGACATGCCCAGCGCGATGTCATCACGCAGGGCACGTCATGCAGGGGACTCTCTAGCATTTGGGTAAGAACTCTATAGATTTTTTTACCCAAAAGCAGGGTTCTTTGGGGGCAGGAACGCACAGGAACGGAGTTCTGGCTGGCTCCCGAGTTGGCCACGCCCAGCAGGAACTCATTAGCATAATAGGCCACACCCAACAGCAGAAACGCATTAGGATTGGCTACATTAGGGGTGTGTGGCCTAACATGCAAAGGAGTCCCTGCTACAAAAAAAGGCCCTGGGTTTTGACAACAAACAAGGTCAACAGAATAAGAAGCAAAAGGTGGGTGTGGCTGGATGACCACACTTCTGGTAACATGGGGGGTGCGGCCTAATGTGCTAATGAGCTGTGCTGTCAGGGGTGTGGCCCAATTTGCTTATGAGTTCCTGCTGTTGGGTTTGGCTTATTATGCTAATGAGTTCCTGCTGGGCTTTTTCTATAAAAAGAGCCCTGCGCCAAACGCCAGCATGTTCCCTGAATGACCCGCCCAGGGGGCGGGCACATGCAACAAGCCCCACCCCCTGCTCCCAGCAGCCCTCAGTCAGAGCAAAGAGCAGCCAGGTAAGTTGCAGAGCTCCCCCCCCCCTCCCGCCCTCTGGTCCAAAACAGTCCAGTGGCACCTTTAAGACCACGTTTTATTCAGGTACAAGCTCCCCCTCCTCTGCGAGGACAGATCTGCGCGTCCCTCCCCTCCAATAGCCAGCAATCCAAAACAGTCCAGTGGAGCCTGAGCGGTGGGTGTTGCCTTCTGACACACTTCTGGTGATGTCAGGGGGTGTGGCATATGCAAATAAGTCATGCTAATGAGTCATGCTAATGAGCTCCTGCACCTCTTTTTCTACGAAATGACCCCTGGTCTCGTCTGCACAGACTGGCAGTGGCTTTCCAGGGTCTCAGGCCAAGATCTTTTCCGTCAGCTGCTGCCTGGCTGTTTTTAACTGGAGACGTCAGGGTTTGAATCTGGGATCTTCTGCATTCCAAGAAGAAGAAGATAAGAGATTGAATTTATACCCCGCCCTTCACTCAGAGTCTCAGAGCGGCTTACAAACTCCTTTCCCTCCCCCTCCCCACAACAGATGCCCTGTGAGGCCGGTGGGGCTGAGAGAGCTCTGAGAGAACTGCTCTTTCAAGAACAGCTCTGACAGAACTATTGGTTGCCCAAGGTCATCCAGCAGCTGCGAGTGGAGGAGTGGGGAATCAAACTTGGTTCTCCCAGATTAGAGTCCGCGCACTTAACCACGACACCGAACTGGCTCTGCGACTGAGCCTCTCCCTAATTCCCTAGTCGCTGACTGATGGCCCCTAGCAAGGGTGGCATTAAATTTTCAGGTGGTCTTCTGGTAGCTATGGTGTTGAATCTCCCTCTGTCATTTGGCTGATTTACCTCCTGAGTGCCTACATATAAGATTAGCTGGACACCGAAATCGAACCAGCTGTTTTGCAGGCTTCGTGATCCATGCACAACTGAAAAAGCAGGCATCGGAGTGGGGAAAAGCGTGTGACGTGCTAACTGCCCGAGGTCGAACTGGACTGTGTAGCGTTTGAGCCAGTGCCGACGGGAAGCTCAGAGTACTGCAGGGCATTGTGGAAAGAAATTGGTTCGGGGTGGTGGTGGTAGTTCATATATACCAGTGCACCAAACCGTCCTGGAAAACCTGCGTTATTATTTATTTATTTATTCAATTCAATTTATACCCCGCCCTCCCCGTGAACAGGCTCAGGGCGGCTTACAGCAGTGGCCCAATTGCCAATAAAACCAATAAAACAATATGCATCGTTTCATAACAAGTTAAAACGTAAAAACGTAAGGTGCTGTTCAGTTGTACAGTGCGTTGCTTACGATGGCGTATTCAGATGTCTCTGACAGCTAGGTTCCAGCTCAGTGTCGTTCCGAGTTGCTCGATGTAACAGACCAGATGTTAAACCAATACCAATAATATATAGAAAGCGATCTGTTGAAAAGCTGTTTGCCATTGTGTTTTGGTGAGACAGCACTTGTGGTAGGAATGTGCCGAGCCGGTAATTGGCTTTCCCCTCCGTTTCACCGGGCTCTTCCCACACTCTTGCTGTTCCAGTTTGGTGTAGTGGGTAGGAGCTCGGACTCTAATCTGGGAGAACCGGTTTGATTTCCCCACTCCTCCTCCATGTGCAGCTGCTGGTGTGACTTTGGGTCTGTCACAGGTTCTTTCAGAGCTGTTCTCTCAAGAGCATTCCTCGAGAGAGCTCTCTCAGCCCCACATACCTCACAGGGTGTCTGTTGTGGGGAGGGGAAGGGAAAGGAGATGGTAAGCTGCTCTGAGACTCCCTCTTCTCAGGTGCACGCACCATGTCTGGAAAGCCTTACCACCGTTTCCCTTTCAGGCTTGGATATCATCGAGTTTCGAAGAGCAATGAAGAAGATCATGGGCAACATTTCCGATGAAGATATCGACGTCATTTTCATGAAGGTGGACACAAACTGCGATGGATCGGTGGACTGGGTAACTGCCTGCCTCTTTCTAGAATCCCCCTTCCCCCTTCTTTGGGCCAAGGAGTGTATTAGACATTTTAAGTTAACAAGAATTCCTTCTTTTTTGGGTCTGGTTGATAATGTTGATTGCCACAAAATCTCCAGGTGTTTCCCAGACCAGAGACGGCGACCCTAACTGTGACTTCTGATACTGCAGCAATTAACACCGGCTGCTGATCCACTCCCAAGCTCAATTCGAAGTGTTGGTTTTGACCTTTAAAGCAGTTGGACAGTTTTACTTAGGACTGCATTTGACTAATTGCGTTCTTTACTTATCGGCAGGGCTATTTTTGGGCAGGAACGCGCAGGAACGGAGTTCCGGCTGGCTCCCAAGTTGGCCACGCCCAGCAGGATCTCATTAGCATAATAGGCCACACCCAACAGCAGAAACTCATTAGGACTGGCTACATTAGGGGTGTGTGGCCTAACATGCAAAGGAGTTCCTGCTACAAAAAAAGGCCCTGGGCTTTGACAACAAACAAGGTCAACAGAATAAGAAGCAAAAGGTGGGTGTGGCTGGATGAGCACACTTCTGGTAACATGGGGGTGCGGCCTAATGTGCTAATGAGCTGTGCTGTCAGGGGTGTGGCCTAATAGCTAATGAGTTCCTGCTGTTGGGTGTGGCCTATAATGCTAATGAGTTCCAGCTGGGCTTTTTCTACCAAAAAAAGCCCTGCTTGTCGGCTGTCCTAATTGGAGATTTTGAACGGTGGTCTTTTATGTATTTATAGCCACTGCCGCCTTGAGTTCCTCGAGGTAGAAAGGTGGCCAATGTTTGTTTTAAGTAAGTAGAATAAACTGCCCCCGAGACAATGAAAAATGCCCGCCTTTGGGGTGAAGAATGTGCAACCGAGCTGCTTCCCTGTTGCCCCGTTTGCAGGAGGAGTATCTGAATTACATGCTGTGCGAATACCGGGGGAAGGAGGACATGCAGAAGAGCAAGCTGTTCCCCGAATTCGTGATGAACATGAAGGCTGTCCCGGTGTAAGAGGTCCCGGGGGCTCTGGACTGGGGGGGTGGGATTCTGCTGAAGGACAGGCGGGTGCAGCGTTCCCTTTCCGCACCCCGCTTTCCCCAGCCGAGGTTGACGTGAGCAGAAACTGTCAGCTCTTGCCTCCAGGTCAGGGCCGGCATCGGCAGACGCCAAGGGTGGGGCGGCTACCAGGGCCCAGGTCTTCTGGAAAAAGTGCAGAGGAGGGCAACCAAGATGGTGAGGGGGTTGGAACCAGGGGTCATTTCCTGCAGGAGTGCACAAGAGTGGAGCTCCGGCAGTAAAGAGCCCAGGGGGCGGGCACAGGCAACAAGCCCCACCCCCTGCTCCCAGCAGCCCTCAGTCAGAGCAAGAAGCAGCCAGGAAAGTTGCAGAGCCCCCCCACAGCCCCCCAGTCCAAAACAGTCCTGTGGCACCTTTAAGATCAAGTTTTATTCAGGTACAAGCTCTCCCTCCTCTGTGAGGACAGATCTGCACGTCCCCCCCCACCCCCAGTAGCTAGCAATCCAAAATAGTCCAGTGGAGCCTGAGCGGTGGGTGTTGCCTTCTGACACCCTTCCGGTGATGTCAGGGGGTGTGGCATATGCAAATGAGTCATGGTAATGAGTTATGCTAATGAGCGCTTGTGCCTCTTTTTCTACGAAATGACCCCTGGTTGGAACCAATGCTCCCTCTAAGCTCTGGAGTCTTGTGAGCAAAAACTCAACTTTGTGAGCTATGGGACATTAAAGTTGTGAGCGAACGATTTGGATACTGTATAAATTAGTTCGCTCTAGTGCCCTCTTTCCTGAGTGAAGTCAAAAATGTGTGAGCCAGAGGCTAAAAAGCTGTGAGCTAGCTCACACACATTCAGCCTAGAGGGAACACTGGTTGGAGCCCCCTTCCGTAGAAGGAAAGGCTGAAGAGTCTGGAACTTTTCAGTGTAGAAAAGAGATGACTAAGGGGAGGGGGACATGATGGAGGTTTCTAAAATCATTCGTGGGGTGGAGAGAGCTGTCCCAGAGAACTTATTTTCGTCAACTTTTGTAATTGGTTTATGTTACGAATGATTTCTTACTGAATTAAACTTGTGTTGTTACGAATGGATTTTTGCCGGAATACTTTTTGTAGTGTAACAATATTTATTTACAAACTAGGAGCAAAGCCCGTTGTGGAGGCAGACAATGAGCCCTAGCATGGTGTGATGGAGGTGCCCCCAGTCTCCTGATCTCTCCCCCCGTGCGACCCCCCGGAGTTGGGGGGTGAGGGAGTGGCTGGGTGACCTCCAGTAGCCTCGGGGCTGGCGGTATGCCGGCCCCCACCCAGTGAGAGGCCAGCCAGCTGCATGTAGGTGGCGGCGGCAGCAGCAGGATCGGGTGTGGCCGGGGGTGGCCCCCCCACGCTGGAGTCCAGGCACAGGGCAGTGGCCAGCGACCCCGGTGTGAGTGGCGGTCGCCTCAGCCTATGGCTGAGGGAGCGCATTGAGCGTGGTCACCCCAAATTAGCTATAATATAGAGAGATTGTCATTGTTCTATTGGGGGCAGGCCCGTAGCTACAGCGGGACAACTTGGGGCCTGGCCCCCTGACTTACCGCCAAGGCCCCCCCAACTTCCCATCCAGCCCAGACACTCCCTTTGGGGTGTGTGCGGAGTGCCTGAAGTTTTCTATACAAAGGAAATGTGGACTTTAATTGTATTCCTACTTTGTAAAGTATTTTTTGATCCTAGCTCTTTTTATATATATATATATATA